TGGCCATCGGCTGGGGCCCCTCGGCCTCTCTCTGGCCCTCTGCAAAACACCCTCCCTCTCCCCTCACCGCGTTAAACCAGTAACAACCAGGGAAAATGTGTCTCACCCCCTCCGCATGCAAACCATTGAAACTCCACAGAAAACAAGAAAACCCACCACTTCGTCACAGGCGTATGTGAGGCGGTGGCTGTGTGAGCATTTGGATATGCAGGAACTTCTGTGCGTGCGAGTGTCTTTGTGTGTGTGCACATGCTTGGGGTGTGTGATTGGGGGGTGGGCATGCATATCATAGAACCATAGGACTGGAAGGGACCTCGAGAGGTCATCTAGTCCAGTCCCCTGCACTCACACCAGGGCTAAGTATTATTTAGCCCTCCCCTGACAGGGGTTTGTCCAACCTGCTCTTAAAAATCCCTAGTAATGGAGATTCCACAACCTCCCTGGGCAATTTATTCCATCGCTTCTTGTCCTGTCCTCAGAGGTTAACAAGAACAATTCTTCTCCCTCCTCCTTGTAACAACCTTTTATGTGCTTGAAAACTGTTCTCATGTCCCCTCTCAGTCTTCTCTTCTCCAGACCAAACAGACCCAATTTTTTCAATCTTCCCTCATAGGTCATGTTTCCTAGATCTTTTATCATTTTTGTTGCTCTTCTTTGGACTTTCTCCACATGCGTGTGCATCTGTTTGGGGTGTGTGTGTACATTTGGGGCCTGTGCATGTGTTTGGAGTGTGTGTGTTCAGGGCATCTGTGTGTGTGTGTTGGGAGGTGTACGGGGCGTATGCATGTGTATGTTCGGGGCGTGTGTGTGTGTATGTTTGGGGCGTGTATGTGTGTGTTAGGAGGTGTTTTGGGTGTGTACGTCTGTGTGCGTGTGTTGGGAGGTGTTCAGGGCGTGTGTGTGTGTGTTAGGAGGTGTTTTGGGTGTGTGCGTGTGTGTGTGTTGGGAGGTGTTCAGGGCGTGTGTGTGTGTGTTAGGAGGTGTTTTGGGTGTGTGCGTGTGTGTGTGTTGGGAGGTGTTCAGGGCGTGTGTGTGTGTGTTA